ATCGAACAGGAAGTGACACAAGATATTGTACTATTACACACACTGTTTTGGGCTAATAAATATAAAATAAATGTGGTGAAATTTTGGTTATTCATTGTAGCAAAGCTGATTTATTTCAACAATCCAGTTGTTCCAATTCATACAAAAGTCAAATAGAAACAATTAGAAAATTCAAGAAATGTTAAAATGAGATTTGGACAGAAATTTGACTGGTATAATATTTCATACAATTCACAATAAATTGTTACACAAATCATATGAATACAGAAAATTATCTACAAAAAATATTATTAACAGAGCTTTGAAGTGAAAGTAGAATATCCCTATCTGTAGTCATTTTTGTGCATGCATCACATACTGAAAACCATGCAACCATAGAGGCCTTACAATAAACCCATGCTGACTCCGAAAACAAGTATGGTGGACCCTTCTATGAATTAATTCGATATGATCACTCTCAATCACTATAACACTAGTCTAGAAAGAATTAGAATGTGATCCCATTAGTTCTAAGTGGCAAGACAATTAGTATGTTTAGTACATCATATCAGGAATTAATAAATTATAAATTATACATGCTCCTAGTAAGCTTCAAAGACGGAAACACACTCAACATTATCGATGATCTAAATCAGCTGTTTGCAAAGTGAACATATCAACAGAAGTTTGCTGGGAACATGTTTATTTTTGTGTTTGCTAGCAATTGGATTTGGTGATGTTAAATTGTTTAACATGGGAGGAGACATTCATATTTTGAGTTGAAAGCAAACTGCTTGGGATACCAAGTGATGTGATTTGTGCTGTGATTAGCAGTAGTTAGTGTAACGGCAATGAACACAGGCAGAAATCAGCCTGGTACACTACATGACATCCTACCATTTGTTTTACTACGGATATTGGTTGTGAATTGTAAACAAAGGTAATTATATAAAGTTGATGAAAAGAAGACAAGGTATATATTATTTTGCTCATGTGCTGTGGATGTGTATTTGCATTATGATAATTAGTGTTCAGTTTATAAAGCATAAAGTATTGCATGCTTATTGCATATTAGTGTTATTTATAGCCATGGTAGCATTAGCCACACTTCAGAAGGGTTCACACACAGTTCGAAAAGCAATAAACATGCATTGATTGATTCATGACACAAGGGGTCAGTAAGGCCTGATAGTAGCTGAGAGACCACGCAGTGCCCAACGCTGTGCGGGTACACTGTCATGACGGACATCCATGACCATTACAGGTTCACGGGGACATATCCGTGACGGGTATACTGGGCATGCATAAGTCTCAGCTGCTTTCTGTGGGTCATTTAGTGCAGGTTTTTCACTCTGAGGCATGCACAAGATATGGACAATAGGTAGAGGGGTTGGACCATGTTTTGGTGGGGTGTCATGTAGTTCACCGGTTGTTTTCTCCCATGTACAGCCCCACATGAAGATTCCATGTACAAATACACCTTCTTGGGGAGGGTCTCTCACCTAGGTAAAATAAGAAGTAAATGATATATTATTAATACAGTATTACATGCAGTACATATGAAAATACATCAAAACTTCCCATGGTCCATACTGAATCTGTAGCAACAACCACTATGTTACCAGTAACTGAATCTGATATACTTACATGATCTTTATCCCTTGCTGTGATTTCAGTTTGGAATACGAATGGTTCCACCTGGCTAGTCTGCGAGCCATATATTCGCATAGCTTCTTGTTTAATCATAGCCAGTAATGCTCTTGGGTAGAAAAATGCACCAAGCCAGAATGCAGGGAACTTATCCCGTCCCTGCAAAATAAATAAAATTAAATGTAATAAATAACTGCAGTAACAGTAAATCTGTTATGATAGAGCAATTTGAATATGCCATATTTGATAATCATGCACCATTTTTATGTTGACATGTTTTCATGTAGACTTTCAAATAAATTAGTTTGATAAAAAAAATAATGAGCTTGTTTGGAATTGAACAGTCAATTGTATATGGATATTGAGAACACAACAGACATAAGAAAAAAGATATCATCTGATTTCTATTATGTTGACTTACCAAGACCAATATTCTTTCAAAATGTTGACACCTTTGTTGCAGGTCAGCAAACCAGGATGCCAGTTGCCAGTTTGATGGTGGGGCTGAGTCACCAGCCAGTTTACGCCAAGCCTCAGGTACACGTTGATTGTATAGATCATCTGCTATGGACAGTAACTTCTCTGATAATCTATCCCCAAACAATCCAACTGGATTCTCTGTTATTTGTTTTAGTGTCTAACGAAATAAAAGAGTTTATTTGATGTTTTTATAAAGATTCAATATTAGTACATGACATTTCGTTATTATACTGCCAGATGTATGCCTCTAAAATCTATACTTCAGTTTTTTGTATTTACCTGTAAGGACAGTCTTATACCTAACCCAGTTTTACATGCTTACCTGTAACGACAGTCTGATACCTAACCCAGTTCTACATGCTTACCTGTAAGGACAGTCTTATACCTAACCCAGTTTTACATGCTTACCTGTAACGACAGTCTGATACCTAACCCAGTTTTACATGCTTACCTGTAAGGACAGTCTGATACCTAACCCAGTTCTACATGCTTACCTGTAAGGACAGTCTTATACCTAACCCAGTTTTACATGCTTACCTGTAACGACAGTCTGATACCTAACCCAGTTTTACATGCTTACCTGTAAGGACAGTCTGATACCTAACCCAGTTCTACATGCTTACCTGTAAGGACAGTCTGATACCTAACCAAGTTCTACATGCTTACCTGTAAGGACAGTCTGATACCTAACCCAGTTCTACATGCTTACCTGTAAGGACAGTCTGATACCTAACCAAGTTCTACATGCTTACCTGTAAAGACAGTCTGATGCCTAACCCAGTTCTACATGCTTACCTGTAAAGACAGTCTGATGCCTAACCAAGTTCTACATGCTTACCTGTAGAGACAGTCTGATACCTAACCCAGTTCTACATGCTTACCTGTAAAGACAGTCTGATACCTAACCCAGTTCTACATGCTTACCTGTAAGGACAGTCTGATTTCTGCAAGCAGATTTATCATCATATCTATTTCTCTCAACATAAATCGATTGAATGGAGTGTCACCACCAATCTTCTTAACTCTCTCAGCAATGTAATCCTGAATAGTACAATAAATTATGCATACTATTAAATCATTTTTGAAACAAGCCATGCATGGCACAGTCCCTGTTAGTTAACGAATTTAAGATTCATTGAAGCTGGTTTGGTGGAGACTAATGCTTTTACAGAGCTTAGTCAGCTTGGTCAAAAAAACGTCAAACTCAATTCTTTAGAAACTGTTAGTTTTCTTGTTTGTATATGCCATCATTTCTCATGATATGTTGCAGAGAAGAACAGTTAATGTTAACTACATGCAAGCAGTTGTATGATTCACCAGACTTGTACTGTCTAATAAATTCTCTGATGCCACTTACCCTGTTCCACCCCCTGGGTAGTTTAGGAAGCAATGTATGACAAATCTCCCAGATTTCTGTATCTTTTCTATTCTTTGCTGCTATGAAGCTAGCACTGGCATAAACACCCTGGTTGGCCACATCCACAGCCATTGTTGAGGCAACTGATGTAACATTAACTAAAGACGGACCTGAAAAGTAATGAGGAACCCAGTCAAATACCAATATGCAATTATCCTTTGTATAAGTGCCATCTGAACTGATATAGCTACATCTAAGAAAATATAGTGATAAATTCACTGATTTATTACTGTCATAACAACAGTGACATCAATGCATCTTTTAGGATTAAAGAGAACAGACACATACATTTAACATTTGATGTAACATTTATCAAAATCTGCTGAGAAGTTTTTGAAATTTTGCTTACACAGATTGAAATGAGACAATATGCAAATTAGCTACTTAATATGCACGGACACTGTTCCAAAATCAATCATGTCTGCACATTATCCCACAGTACCTAAGTACCAAATTTGATCAAAATTCGCTCAGGAGGTTTTGAAGCTTTTGCACACACAGACAGACAGACAGACAGACAGACAGACAGACAGACACACCAAATTCATTATCACATCATTCATTATCATCACATACACAGGAGCTAAAAACCAAATCAGTCAGATTACCTGCAGTGTTTCACCTAGATTATTTTTGCCACTCAATGAAATGATTTCTTACCTGTCTGAGGTGTTGGCGGTCTCTCTATCAATGCATGACTTAAAGTAGGAGTCTCTGGCATGGCATCTATGATAGCATTAAGTCTTGTAAACACATACTGATCATCACCTAAATTGGTCTGCAAGTCAAATTATTAGTATATATTACTACATAGTCAGGCTGATACATACACTGTGTACCAGGGTCTCTGTCCCATCACCAAATATTGATTCCCCTGTCAAATGTTATTCTGTTATTATTAGAAGGATAGCAGCTGGAAATGAAAGGTATTAAGCATCGATGGGTCAGTCCATTACAGTGAAAAAGTGGACTGTGAACAGTCAAATAAAGTTCTCTTATTATAAAGCATGGTGTGTTTAAAAATGAGCATACATCAGCAGATGTGAGATTCATTGTGCAGCAAAGCAATAACATTAAAAAACACTGAAGTAATATGTCTAACAATAAAGTTAAAAACCAATATAAATTAATGGGTATGTGTTGCAATCATTATATTATTTCTACTATTAACAACTATATAATAAGTAAGTTAGAAAATAAAAAAGTTGCATTGTCTGATCAAAGTAAAATGACCTTGTCTACCACATTACAGTAACACCTCTATGCCTTACCATAGGTTTTCCTTCATCCTTTTAACCATCATAACATAAATGAAATTTACAACAACAAAAATAGTCAAAAAGAATGACAAGGTTAGAACAAAATATGAATAATTTTTTCATAAATGAATTTGATATCAGGGTGTGGAATGTTTTATTTGACTGAATGAAAAAGGTTTTTAATATCTCTTTGAAATAAAGCACAAGTGGGCAGGAATGGAAATATAAAATGCATTTTTATAGCAACTTTAAAATCCACATAACAGAAACAAGTCTGGGATTCCACATAATATAAGGGAAACTGGAAAAAAACATGGCAATCACTTGAACCCAAGTTAGTTGTTAGAAAGAATTATTGCAATGATAGTTGCAGTTACACACATTGTCTTATGAAATACAAGATGTTATTACTGGATTTTATTTTTCACAGTTGAGAAACAATGATCTATTAAAGCAATCAAACATGTTAGCAAATGTTAAAAATTACCATGTGAATTAATTACATTGCAATGATTTGAATTAATTGATCAAATAATTGGAATATTTCAGTCAGATGATTGGAATGGGTCAATTAGATGGTTTATTTATTAATTTGGAAAAAACAACAAATCATTTCATGACATACTGCTATATTGTGATAAAAATGCTTGTGTTTTTCTTTCAACTGTTTCCCACTGAAAGGACCCCATTCTCCCAAATCAATCAATCAATTGATTAGATAATTTGAGTTAAATGGGATTAAATGGTTTAGTAAGCATTTTTCAAATCTAGCTTTTCCCACCTTCAGCGACCCATCCCTATTTTAATTGTATATACTTCTCTTCAGGACACAGTTATCTGAAGGTTCAGGTAAGGGTTCAGTTAGGACTATGGTGGGGGTGGGTGCTTAAGGAACGCTTTCGGGTAGTTTTAATGTGCTGATCCGATAAAATATATATTTTTACTTTTCATTTTCATGATTTGATGACTTATTGGTGTTCATGAGGACAGCATTTTAGAAAAGTCGCTGTGACTTTCTGTTTTATAAGGACCTTAGTGAAATTTTCATTGTTACAAAATTTTGTGATTTTGAGACTCACAAAAAATTTTCTCTCAATGTTTCCATTCAACCTCTAACAATAAGTTAGTTAACTAACTAGACTTAACACCTTTCTTGATAGGTCGATGAAGATTAGAGATTAGGCTTTGTTAACCAATGTGTGAGGGGAGGAGAAGATTAGAAAAATAGCATCCACTCATTCTGGGTCTGCACCAAGAAAATGGTCCATTTTCTTGTCAATATAGTATTAAATGATTCAGGTTTGAGAATGGATATGCTAGTGGGACGGTGGGCAGGGGCAGGGAGGTTTTGTGGTTAGCAGTATGACTGAAATGGGTTCTGGTTATATATGTAGACATTTTTCATCAGAAAACAATACAATTGCATGGAAATACACATCAAGGTATTGGTAGAAATAGCAGTATATTGTGTCTTACCTCCATTGAAAAGTGTATACTGCAAGCTTCTGGTACATCTAGTGCATGATTTGGTAGATTCTCCAAAGCTTGTAACAGATTGGCAACACGGATGTTTGGATTGAAGAATGCAGCTGGGATCTTGTATTTCACTGGTGGGATCAATGTAGAATATAACAAAATAGAATTTTTATTGCTATTAAATTCTGAAGACATAAAAAATAAGCAACACTGACAATACAGGAAGAGAATAAAACATATGCAGTCAGAGTCACGTATAGAAATAATTAAACTGTTTCAAAGGCTTAAGTTTATCAAATGTAGAAGAGGTTTGTAGTATTTCAGGACTGTATAAACTCTGTGTCCCATCATGTGACATGAATGCAACAATTTATATATCTGGATATATAAAGACAAAAACTGTTATCTTAATGCTGGATATAACCTGTTTACCACCGGTTCCCTCCTTTCATCACAAATTTACAAAATAGTCTTTGAGACAAAAATAGCCAAATTTTTTGAGTAAAAAGTGATAATTGACTGTTAGCTGGCTCCAAAATTAGGGTTCATTTCTAGAAATATTGAAGAATATAAGAACAAAATGCAGAAAATTTGGACAAGAAATCTGGTGGTGGAAGTAACAAAGCTTGAAAACATCTTGTAAGTACTGCACGTACAAGTACTTTCTTACATAACAATGACATAAAATACAACTAGTAGTATGTTGCATTGGTGTAGAATAGGAGTACTGTAAAATCTGTATTAGAAGCCGCATTCCTAATAAAAGCCATAATCATTCTTTTTGAACTAAATATTCACTATTTCTCATATGTGTGGATACTCTGATAGAAGCCGCATCACCTTTGTTGTATTGTACTATTTTAATAGAAGTTATGGCTTCTAATACAGATTATACAGTACATGTGATCTTAGACAAATTATTTTGCATTTTGGAATTGTTATCAAAAACTCTTAATATTAACCTCAACTTATATCTTCAGAACCGTACAAATGTAACATGTGACATGATTAGACAGCATTCAAAATACAGACTGTATACTTACATTTAGTAGCCTCAAATTCTCTCTTAACAGCATTAGGTCCAACCCAGTATTCAATTAAAGCTGCTAAACTGACTTGATCAAAATCATCCATGATATGACTACCATAGGTGATTTCAGTAAGTAGATATCTGATACCTAGCCAAGAAACACCTCTCAAACCCTCCCCGTCTGGTAATGGTGTATCCTTGAATGCTACTGCTGCAATCATTAAACCTTCCTATGATTTGTAAACAGAAAACAATGTCACATATATGTCAGTTCAATAGAAATCTAAATAATTGGGACTTCTTTATTTTAAAAGAGCTCTAGTTAGTCTGTCTGCTAATCTGGTACATTATTCAAAATTCAAAAAAGACTGCTATATCACAGTCCCTCTATGGCTATATGTATGTACAAAAAACAGACAGCAGAAAAAAATAAAAAAGTAAAATACCTTCCTGTCAGTATTACTAGTGGACATCATAATTAGACACACCTTCTCAAAGTATTCTGGACTAGTGACTCAGACTGAGATATTTAAATGCAAATTGCCATCAAGATCTTCTTGAGAGCATGAACAAGATCCACAAGATTTGTTTTCGTCACTAAAATAAAATAGTGTTATGTTCTCTCTTGTTATTGCATGTAGTGCTTCAAATACCATAGTTACACATGTCAAGGGAAACAGTGGACATGATGAGGAATAGGACACTACTTGAGGTGCAAAGTCTTGTGGTTTTATCACTCAACAAATTCTTGATGGCTATTTGCGTCAAAGGTCAAAACAAGTATCGTACTCACAAAAAGTTCAGTACTTCCAAAATCCATACTATAAGGTCTATTCCAGCCAGCATGTCCAAACCTTGCCCTGAGTCTGATAGCACCATGTAATAGACACAAGTTGTGAATCATGGGAGGCCACTCAGTACGTGTACTTGACTTCAATGTCTCAGCATCAAGCACACAAAGTGCACGAATCATATTATCCTTCATGACCTGTCAAAATAGCACAACAAATATCAGAATGTACAGAGAGTTATATGTTAACTAAAGAGAAACTACATTTCCAAATTAAACAAAGAATTTTGTACCTAATAGTTTACACACTGTGAAATGTTCCATTCTTGTCGTGTATTTAGATGAACACTGTTCAATTTACTTGCTAGCATTTACTGATCATTTACAATCACACACACACACAAAGTGTCAAATTACTAATTTACTGGATGTTACTACAAGGTGAATATAACATGATATACTGTGACATACTGAGAATAATTGTAACAGTAACAGAGAATCTTGCACTTAACAAATATGAAAAGGTCACATCTAAACTATACCAGGTTTTATTATTGTCACAATATCAAAAACCATACAAAATAGATTTTGACTTTTGGTCAACGAGCAGGTAAGCATACTATAAAATATTCACAATATACAGACAAGAAAAGAAGCTTCTAATCCAGAGAGTTGTATTAAAGGTGACCCACTTATGGCCATAATAAATCAATACTTGTATACCTACATCTACACCTAGACTGGTCCAGTCATGGAATTTTATTGTTTTCTCAAAAAATGAGTTTGTTGAATCTCTCACATTGATGCGAAATTTCCACGACTGGTCTGTTCTTGTCATGCCCTCTGTAGTTGTCACCACGCTTTTAAGGTGATAAATATGCTAATGAGTTATATGTAATGCAACTTTTGATCTGACATGTTCTACAACGCAACTATATATGTGACATGACGTGTAGAACTCTTTGCACAAGTGCACATTCACTTTCTACTTTTTGAAGTTACATTCCTGGGTTCCATAACATCACTACATATCATGAATAATTAATAGCAATGAATACGCCTCACAATAGACCAGTTGTTATAATTTTGTGTCGAACCATGGCTTGAAACAATTATTATAAAATGTTTAAAGGGGAACCGCTCAATCCCATGGACTGCACCAAAGAATCATGGGACACTATTGTTTATGTTGTTTACAATGTTAATCTATCTTTTGTTATCCATTGTTATTTTAATCCAGAAAGTAAATTTGTTGTGAGATTAGGCTTAACTAGAAGGTGCCCCTTTAACTTCAATTACTTGTCTAACAATGTCTACCAGTTCTTATTCACAGAATAAATGGTCATACAGTTCTCATTTGTGGTAAGCTCTGCAATAATTGACTACACCATTTTCAACTGGTTACAGAATTTTCTTTGACAAAAACCGGTTGGCAATTAAAAATGTAGTATGGAGAACTTTGAATTTTTGTGTATGTTTTAGTTTAGCGGATAGAGATTTATAAGTTTATCTCAAATTGAATAATTATGAATGAAGGTAATATAGAGGTCAAGTTCAAATTATATTTATCATGAAGCAATCTGTGAATATAAACACATCATATCACCATGCATGACAGTGCAAGACAAGAAGACAAAAAAATTGCTTTAAAAAAACTCAATATTTAGGTGGTTTGTGGGAGAGGTAGCATTCTACACCTGATTGGTTGGCACTGCACAATGGTCACTTACAGATGCAAAAGGATTAGAAAGCTTCCTCTGTCTTGGACGGAGAAATGCTCTTAAGAATACCTATGTGAAGAAAATGTCTGCATAGTGTTATGATGGGTTCGGGTTGTAACCAAATAGTGGTGTATGCAAAATCTGAATACATTACTACCGGTAGCGAATGGATAAAGTGAACCTTGCATGAAATCAGACTTATAGCTATTACCGGTAATTCTTAGCAACATTTATACTAAACTTAAAGTACCGCAAGGTAATGCAAAGAAGGTTCCAAATTGTTTTTTATATTTTTGATGAAAAAAAAAAATATATACTATAGATAAATGTTCTTTCACAAAGTTGTCTTTTTTCTATAAAGTAAATTAACAGGAGCCAGATTTTGTGTGAGCGCATTATAATGTTCACAACAATCACTGACAGTGTCAGCTGGAAAAACAAATAAAAATAAAACCTTGATTTGATTTATTTTTTTGACACTTTCAATATAGGATTTAAAACAAAAACCCATTGTAACCATTACTTTGTGAGAAGGATCACAAGTTGTCACGTGTCTTGAAATAAAAGTCATCAATTTAACAACTAGTACAAAATATTAAATTAGCAACATTACGATTCAATACAAGTAAAACATACACACACAGAAACCATATAGTACCACAGAACATTTATTAAATTGTACATTGTGTACAGAACACTGTTAAACCTTAGGAAACTTAACATGATCAAAAGTTAAAACTTTAAAATAATAAATAAAATAATTTTCATAAGAAGCATTTCAGGACCATGTTCCACCAATATTTTCATAACAACAATTGATGTTTGTTTGAAGTCCACATAAGTTTAATTTATCATTATAGTGACTGACATTTTGGTGCATTCATTTCAAATATTATTATCCACTGACTATTACTCTATTTTATACAACAGATTCCTCTACTTAAGTCTTTTCACGTAACTCTGGTAAAGTCGTTTGCAAGGATCATTTATTATCTGTGAAATCTACCCACCACACTTTTGGAATAAATCAATCATATATAGAACCAGAATACATGTAGAATGTTTACTGCACAAGATATTCTACTGTTTTGCTAATTCATCTAGCATTGTAAACAAAGTTCTATGCATTCTTTCATAGCATAGGATATCAAAATATTTTATTTTATTGTTTGAGCCTAAGGTGGTAAATTTCCCTTCAAGCTTGATAACCCAGATTTTATTTCTTTATATAGCATCCATTTTTAAGCACACACAACAAAATGGTTTACAAAGCACTTCCAAGTGTTCTGATTATAGTAAGTTTTTTCTAAAAAGAATTGGATTGAAAATGTCTGGTTTTTACATGGAATTACTCTATTGGTAAATTAACAATCTTGAAATGTTTTACTATTGTAAATTTTAACAATAACATAACTCTAATATAGATCACAAAAACACACATGTCATAATATAAAGTAAATGTCATGCAATCTAATCTATGACAACATGCATAATATAACACAGCAACAATTGACATGCCAGAACACAGCAACAACCGACATGGCAGAGACATGCCAGACTTACTTTCAGATTTTCAGTGTCTAATAACAAGGACATGGAATAGATCATAGAGTCTTTCAATTTCTAGAAAGAAGCAAGCAATGTGGACAACAACAATCACAACATACATTGACAAACATGTAAAGTGCTTATCTTTCATTTACTTTTAGATCAAAAAAAAAAAAATAGCATAAAAAATAACTTTCAGTGCTTGTTCTTCCTGGATTTGGCTGAGATTCATACAAACATGTAGAAGTAGCTAGTAAATTAAATATACTTTTTATTTTGATGTGAGAAATTGATTCAGCTGACATGCAAGAGCTAAAATCTTTATTTCTGAATTCAAGTAACATGAAAGTTACCCAAAACACAGAATAAGACATGCATTACTAGACACCATACATAGTTTACGATTACATAGAAAGTGGATTCCTTGTTAAACACATATATATAATTCTAACATTTAGTGCTAGGCTATTACTGTAAACAGTCAAACTAAATACTAGTAGTTCAAATCAATGTGACATGTTTTTATAGTTTTTTAACATATTATGTTTATTTTCACATAAAGTTTAATTATGCAATGACCATACACTCAGTTTAAATAGGTGAGATTATGAAGTGCAGGGTTGGAAATCTAAGTTCTTAGATGCACATTGATTTGGTGTCTGATATTGCTTTCATAATGTGTAGGATAATATTAGAAGTTTTGATATTGAGTTATGAGTGCCATCAGAATACTGTAGTTCAAGCCATGCTATAGTGATCTCCCATATACTGGAGGACAAGTGATAAAACAATGAATTTTTATTAACCATAGTCCTTTCATAAAATACACCATATATTTTATGAATATATAAACCATATAACATACATGTATTGACAATTAAAAGAAAATCATACGCTGTATTCAAAGAATTGTGCACCGGAATATAGCAATAACGAGATGAGCGGATGAAAATATGAGGGTTATAGTCAGTCTGTTATTTTGTAAATTTTCTACCACGAGAAGACAGGTTTTTTGAAATTTAGTCTCTCAAATTTAGAGTGCCTATGTAAAATGACAGATGAACATTTGGCTGGCTAAGAACCTGCTGTCAAATGAGAGATGTGTGTTGGCATACCACAATTAGGGTTGGATTGCAAACAAGATAAGAAAAGTTGATTTACTAATTGTCAGCAATCACAGGTATACAGAAATGTTAGAATATTATAGAGTAAAGGAAGGATAGACATATTTCAGAATTACAATGGGCAGTGATCAAAACAAGCCTGTGACTTACCCTAGGTGAATCCACTACTATCTTTGCTGAGATCTGTAAAAGTCTGACTGGAATCTTGGGAGTAATCTGAGCTGTTATCCACAAACGGAAGTTAGGATCAGGGTTTTGAACATCCAGAAGCAATGATTCCAGTGAGTTCAATAAATGCAATGAGTTATGACCATTCTGTAGCAATACATATGAACCCTATGAAAAGAAAACAAGGAATGTAAATAAATGGACCCATGTTTTGATACAAATTATAATTGGTGTGTGAAACCTAAAATAGAGCCATGTGATCAGTGCTTGTTCAATCATGTTTCAATCACAAACCTTAGCAAACATCCATGTGTAGACGGAATTTGGTAGATTTTAATAAATAAATAAGTGCTTTTATTTATATTTGGTAGATTTTAATAAATAAATAAGTGCTTTTATTTATATTTGGTAGATTTTAATAAATAAATAAGTGCTTTTATTTATATTTGGTAGATTTTAATAAATAAATAAGTGCTTTTATTTATATTTGGTAGATTTTAATAAATAAATAAGTGCTTTTATTTATATTTGGTAGATTTTAATAAATAAATAAGTGCTTTTATTTATATTTGGTAGATTTTAATAAATAAATAAGTGCTTTTATTTATATTTGGTAGATTTTAATAAATAAATAAGTGCTTTTATTTATATTTGGTAGAAAAATCATCAGAGGAGTTAATGGTCATTAGAATTGTACAGTGTGCTTGCGAGTTGATGTGCAACTTACTTCCTCCATTGCTTTCTTGATAACTTTTCGTGCCTTTCGTTCCTCATTATGTCCTGCATTATAGAGTGGTACTATAGTGGTGGCAATCTGTTTCTTAAGACCACATTCTAAGAACATTCTCTCTGGCGTTTCACTCTCATTTGTATACATCAACATAATGGGAGACGTGGGGAAAGTCTGACGTAGTACTTGGTTAAGGTCAGCGGGGACATCACCAACATATCTAGATATTTTGAAATCAGAAAGAAAATAATGTAACCTGACATGATAGATGAAAAAAAGAGAAAAGAAAACAATGATTTTCATTATTTGAGCGTTATAACTTTATGTGAAGTTTGGGGATAACTTGGAGCATAGTTGACACTAGAGGGCTCAGTGCATGCTATAAACCAAATGAAAGTAAAAGGGCATTGGTCGTCTTGCTGTGTTATGTTAAATAAGTGATTGATACAATGTGTATAAAATACATTGCTTACATCAAATTTGATTCAGTGCTGCACAAAAAACATTGGGAAAGGAATGCTAATACATTGGATACCATGCTTTGTCAGAAATGTTATACATAATAAAACAGTAATACAGTGTGTGAGATTAATATTTAAATTAAGTATAAAATATAGAAAACGACTCACTTTTTGCCAAGTACAGACGTGACAAAGACAGTAGCTGCTTGCATGAGTCTATCTTGTCTGAAAGCTCTCATCACTAGCAGCCTCTGAATTGGGGAATAAATCTCATCCATTCTTTCCGGTAATGGTGACAGTTCTGGTGTTTCATGCTCACCCATTGTACGCCACTGGGTTTCACGCCCATCTTTTGGCATGCGTTCAAACATCTCTTGGAACCACTCATAATGAATACCAAGTAGCTGGAGACAAAATGAATTAGAAGTAAAATAGAAATGACTCCTGCATGAGGCTGGTAACTGAGAATGGACCCCTACACACTGAGGGGTGGGGTGGGGTACTTGGCTGGTATAGGTATGACAAAATCTGCAATATCAAAAACTATATTTTTCCACTGATTTCTTCAGTTTTTGATAAAATGAGAACTTATTTAAAAAACACCAGGGAGATATGAATGCTTGTATGCCACTGTGCATTTGATGTGTTTTGTCTTCTCATTTATTAGTAATTTTAATTACAAGTGCATAATCCTTTCTCAACTCTCGTACATAAACAGCATTCACTGTGCAGGTGACTTCAAAAATAAACAAGCCATGCATGGCACAGTCCCCGTTAGTTATCGAGTTTAAGATATATAGTTTTGTTTATAGTAATATAGCTGGAATATAAACATGTCAGGAATATGATTATGATGATTGTTTAACATTTAAATGATTGACATTTGTATCTGATCGTCAAACGAGTATTGAGAGTTATTGCTCTGGAACAGCATTAATTAAAACAAAATCAGCCATTTTGAATACATGTATAAATAATATATAAAATTTGAACATAGTCAATGACCCTTAATGTCTAATGTATGTACCAAGTTTGAACAAAATCCATCCATAAGATGCCAGAAATGCTTGATTTTTTAGGCCATTTTTAATAGGATCGTCAAACCACTATCTATGACATGATGTATAATGAATATTTAAAATTTGAACATAATAAGTCATAGCAAGTCAGAGATATGGCACTAGAACCACATTCATTAAAACAAAATGGCCACCAGTCGGCCACTATGAATCTTATCTGAAAAACAAAATGATGTGCATCAAGGTCCTTTAATGTCCAATGTATATACTAAGTTTGAACAAAATCCATCTGTTAACAAACGAGAAACAAAAATGACAGCCAATCGACCATCTTGAATCAGATCATGAAACAAATTGATGTGCATATGTATGATATCATGTATGATGTATGTGTGAAGTTTGATTGTAATTGGTCCAGGCATTTCTAAGATACAGGTTCGGACGCACACACAGACGCACGGAGGTCAAAACATAAGTCCCCGTTTTCGGACTGCAAACGGGGACTATTAATGGCAGTCGTCAGTGGAGACTTTCTGATGCGTTAAACTGCACCATTCTTTTTTCAACACATCGCTAGCATATGTGTTTTTTTGTCATTTATTTTATTACAGTCTCAAATCTGTCTAGCAGATAATACAAAATATTATCAGAAAAAAACACATAATTTCACTGTGTACTCACCTGTAAGTTGTGGAATTGATCATCTAACATCCAATCAAATGGTTTCTTAGCTTGTGCAATTCTGTGATCAGGTGGTACAGCCTTTCCGATTGCCTGCATTACTGATGCACCAAAGTTAGGAGACACAAGGAATTCTCTCTCACCTGGACCAAGATGACCCTCAGAATCTTCAACCTGTCAGTAAAATATCATTCAAGATTTCAAACATGTTGATTCAATAACTGTTTAGCGATGCGAATTGGTAATCAAACACGTTGATTCAGTAACTGTTTAGCGATGTGAATTGGTAATTGGACATGTTGATTCAGTAACTGTTTAGCGATGCGAATTGGTAATCGAACACGTTGATTCAGAGACTGTTTAGCAATGTGAATTGGTATTCGAACACGTTGATTCAGAGACTGTTTAGTGATGTAAATTGGTAATCAAACTCGGTGATTCAGAGACTGTTTAGTGATTCGAATTGGTAATCGAACATGTTGATTCAGAGACTGTTTAGTGATGCGCATTGGTAATCGAACACATTGATTCAGAGACTGTTTAGTGATGCGCATTGGTAAACGAACACGTTGATTCAGTAACTGTTTAGCGATGTGAATTGGTAATCGAACACGTTGATTCAGAGACTGTTTAGCGATGTGAATTGGTAATCGAACACGTTGATTCAGTAACTGTTTAGCGATGTGAATTGGTAATCGAACACGTTGATTCAGAGACTGTTTAGCGATGTGAATTGGTAATCGAACACGTTGATTCAGAGACTGTTTAGCGATGTGAATTGGTAATCGAACACGTTGATTCAGTAACTGTTTAGTGATGCGCATTGGTAATCGAACACATTGATTCAGAGACTGTTTAGTGATGTGAATTGGTAATCGAACATGTTGATTCAGAGACTGTTTAGTGATGCGCATTGGTAATCGACACATTGATTCAGAGACTGTTTAGTGATGCGCATTGGTATTCGAACACGTTGATTCAGAGACTGTTTAGCGATGTGAATTGGTAATCGAACATGTTGATTCAGAGACTGTTTAGTGATGCGCATTGGTAATCGAACACGTTGATTCAGAGACTGTTTAGTGATGCGCATTGGTAATCGAACACGTTGATTCAGAGACTGTTTAGTGATGTGAATTGGTAATCGAACACGTTGATTCAGAGACTGTTTAGTGATGCGCATTGGTAATCGACACATTGATTCAGAGACTGTTTAGTGATGCGCATTGGTAATCGACACATTGATTCAGAGACTGTTTAGTGATGCGCATTGGTAATCGACACATTGATTCAGAGACTGTTTAGTGATGTGAATTGGTATTCGAACACGTTGATTCAGAGACTGTTTAGTGATGTGAATTGGTAATCGAACACGTTGATTCAGAGACTGTTTAGTGATGCGCATTGGTAATCGACACATTGATTCAGAGACTGTTTAGTGATGCGCATTGGTAATCGAACATGTTGATTCAGAGACTGTTTAGCGATGTGAATTGGTAATCGACACATTGATTCAGAGACTGTTTAGTGATGCGCATTGGTAATCGACACATTGATTCAGAGACTGTTTAGTGATGCGCATTGGTAATCGAACACGTTGATTCAGAGACTGTTTAGTGATGTAAATTGGTAATCAAACTCGGTGATTCAGAGACTGTTTAGTGATGCGCATTGGTAATCGAACACGTTGATTCAGAGACTGTTTAGTGATGCGCATTGGTAATCGAACACGTTGATTCAGAGACTGTTTAGTGATGTGAATTGGTAATCGAACACGTTGATTCAGAGACTGTTTAGTGATGCGCATTGGTAATCGAACACGTTGATTCAGAGACTGTTTAGTGATGTAAATTGGTAATCAAACTCGGTGATTCAGAGACTGTTTCGTGATGCGCATTGGTAATCGAACACGTTGATTCAGAGACTGTTTAGTGATGCGCATTGGTAATCGAACACGTTGATTCAGAGACTGTTTAGTGATGCGCATTGGTAATCGAACACGTTGATTCAGAGACTGTTTAGTGATGCGCATTGGTAATCGAACATGTTGATTCAAGACTGTTATGATGCGCATTGGTAATCGAACATGTTGATTCAGAGACTGTTTAGTGATCCGAATTGGTAATCGAACATGTTGATTCAGAGACTGTTTAGTGATCCGAATTGGTAATCGACACATTGATTCAGTGACCATTTATTTGGGTGACATGTGTCATACATACGTTGTTTACCCCAACATAACGTAGTGATGTGATTTAGCAATGTAAATATATACAAATTATCAGTACGTGTATATATAAAACACACACGGGTTAGCTCCATGTTTGGACCAATTATAAGCATGCATAACAGATAATACAAAAGATTTAGTGACATACCTCTAGTGCAAGGAGAATGGAATAAATAATTCTGTCCCTTTCTAATAGACTCTTTGCAGTGGTGGTGTATGCTGCTAGTGTGAGACGATCAACAACAGCTTTGACTGCAGCTCTATCAATGTCACACAAAAAATGGAGTTACTATCAGCTCTACTAGTCTGGTTTTAGTTTAAACTATGATGCCATATAGTTTATCCAAATGTCACAATATTGAATATAATATAACTTTTAATACATTGGGAGTGAAAGAGAAGGGTTAGTTTCAAAAAATATATTCAAAAGATTGAGTCAAACTGTCGCAGATTACTAGCACATGACTTGAGGGACTAGCTTGATAGTTCAAATTACAGTAATTTTATCAGTAAAGAGAATACAATCTATTATGTTATTGCTGGCTAAATGACAAACTTCATGTCTAAGTACATTTGTCATATACTTTGTTTACCAAATATGGTGTTTTGTCAATAACTGCAGATTGTGTTATTCCTACTTCATGAATTTACATGTACCTTTTCATATGTAGCAATAAACATTTTACCAAACATACAATGTGTAGACTCACTAATCAGAACTCGTCACTATGAAGGGTGCAGATAAAAAACGAAATGAAAGTAATTTATTTATTCAATGAAATCACAAAGCTTACAGATTTTGATACAATGAATGAAGTCATTAGGACTAACATTTTAAAATAACATTCTGCAACAGTTTGCTACTTCTGGAAGTTGGCAGGAATACATCCATGGAGATAAGCCCAGTGTCAAGGTAATAATGAGTTTCATACGGGGTGTCAGGGAGGGATAGCAAGAACCACAGCAAACTTGTATGCATTTTATTTTCATATTAAACAAAACCAACCCACATTGAGTAAACTTACGATCTGTGATGTTTCATGCAAATAAAATATAAATAAATTATAATAAGTGCAAATAAACTTGACCATTAGCAACAACAGTGTATATTCAAATGTGTGAAAAAAAATTATATTATTATGTGCTTCATTATTACACAGAATATTATCCCTTTCCCCATTGTGGGAACAGCTTTACATCACAAACATCACAAATATATAGTTAAAAATTTGTCATTTAAATTGTTCGAAAAGCCTACATGCGAGTGCTTATTACTGAACACTCAATGCATTTTAGTAATAGCTATGGCATTGTAATGCATACTGCACGACATATTATCACTATATAACAGTTTTTGCAAGATATATTCTTCCCACAAACTCCACAGGGAGTATACAACACCAGCTGCCTTACACATGCACACATGAGTTAGATGGCAAACATTTCATACCAGGTTCACATTTACTCCTGGGTAGACAGAAGCTATAGGAGTAAAATACCTTTCCCAAGATACAGCACTATGGCATAGCTAAGACTCACAAATCTGTGATTGCCAGACCTGGATGATAACTATTGTACTATCATGATTACTCATTGTCTATGAGTATTAAATTACTTATACATATGACAGCTGACATATGGAGAACCACATGTCTCTCAAAAAGAACATTACCTGGAAAAGTTAGTATTTTCTGTGATAGAATGAATAAAAAGACAGTGAAGGTGTCTGCTACAGATTCTACACATGCAGAATTTACATGCAATGGTTTTATTTCTGTCTACTTACAACAACATTTCTTTTGGTTGAGTCTCCCCACTTTAAAAAACATTGAATACACAACAGGCATGGTAAACAAGAATGGAAAGTAACAACAACAGACAGCATGTAAAGGGATCATATTACTGGTATTCAGTACAGTACAAATAACATGTTAAAAGTACATTAGTAAATATAAATCAAAGCTGCTGGACCAATAAATATGATATATATAGTTACTGTAGGAATTATTGGGTAATTTATGTCCTATGTAACTATTAAAAATAACGGAACATTTATGACACACTAGACAAGAAAATTGTTTCCAGCCAGTTTCATTCCACTTTAATTAAATTGTAGGGGGCATAACATTTGGATATGTCCATTTATTGAGTACATAGTGTCGATAAAAACAAGAATCAACTCAGGCGAGTCAAGAAGAAAAACCACATGCAAATTATCAACTGTTTAACTCATTAATTGTGCTTGCTTATTTTTTAATGATTTCATTTTTACAGTTGTGCACGTTATTACGTTCTTATTTTCTGTCTATCCTTAAAAAGATCAGGTATGTACGACCTAAAAATAGTGCCGTATGCGAGTACCAAGTTGCGAGTCGCAAGTAGCAAAATATGCCATATGCTAGTGGTAAAAATGGCATATGCGAGTGGTAAAATGTATCGTTTGCTAGTAGCAAAAAAGCCCTATGCGAGGGGTAATACAAAGGCTTGTAGCGTTTGCTTATAATATAACGACGTACGTTCAATTGTGTTTTATCACAGTAAAATCAAATATTTACCATGGTTATGAAATGATGTGTACATGGTTGGTTAAGATTGGCATGATGCTGTATCAAAAAGTTCGTTCAGTCGTTTGCATAGAATCGATGTTTGCTCTTCACGAA